CTCCCCGAACCGCGTCGCTGGCGCTCCTAGTCAGTGGCAGCTCCGGGAAAACTGCAGCACCAAGGATGTCACCCGTTTGCACCAAGGTCAGTCCTTGTACCACCTCTGTTACTCATCTGTTCCCCATGGATAGAGGAGCATCGATGCACCTCTGCGTGCGCTCTCCTATGCTTGCAGCTATGCCCATCCCCATTTTGGGCACTGCACCTCACACCGCCCCGCACCTTGCACCTCACTGCACCTCGCACCATGCACCTCTCGCCTCACACCGCACTGCACCTTGGCCACTGCACCGCACCCACAGCACCCACACTGCACTGCACTGCACTGCACCGCACCGCACCGCACCTTGCACCTCGCGCCGCACCTTGCACCTCGCGCCGCACCTTGCACCTCACCTCGTGCCTTGCACCTCACCTTGCGCCACAACTCAGGGTGCACCTTGCGCGGCGCCTCGCATCGCACCCGCACCCCGCGCCCCGCGCCTTGCACCGCACCCCGCACCCCGCACCCCGCACCCCGCACCCCGCGCCCCGCGCCCCGCGCCCCTCACCCCTTGCACCTGCACCTGCACCTATCACTTTGATTGGCACCCCACTGGCCCCTACACCTGTGTGCCCCTGCTGCATGTAGCAGCACCTCAAAGCGCTCAACATTGCTCCGCTGCGTCTCTCTTAACCTCTCTTTGACCTAAACTAAATTGCTCCTCCCGACTCCTAGAGTTTGGGAGATCCCGGCTTCACCGGTTCGCATCGTCGGGACTCCTAATTTCCGGGAGTCCCGGCTCAGCCACGATCTCCAAACCCCCGCCTGGTGGCCCATTTGCGGCGGGAAGCCCTTCGGGCTTTCTCCCGTAATGCTGTGTACCCCCCCTTCATGTGTGACCTGCCAGCGGGAGGAATACAAAGTTATGAGGCTCTCAAATCACGAAGTCCCACTCATAGTTGGCGCGTGTCACGCGCATCCCGCCAAAAGGGCGACCGTAGTTCCCAGCCGCTTCGCAGTGTAGCGAGTAGTACGAGCGGAGCTTGAATTGCGAAGTGGCTGGTATCGAGCCAACACGCCCAACGCTGCAACGAGTAGATCGTGACATGATTACTCCGGGATATTGTATTTCAGTCTTCCTAAGATCCACCACTGTTTCCAAAGCTTGCATTTCATTCACCGTTGCTGAGGATATACCTGGATATACACGAGACAAGCTGACAGTTGACTGAGAAGTATAAGAGACACCACTCAACCTAGTACAAGGACTACTGGGTGTGACATGTTGACACTTCGACGACTCGGTATGTCCGCCAGGTGATCGGACACCAAGACCGGCAAGGCCCTTGTGTCCGCCGTGATATACCGGACATGGACCGAAATTTTGGGCTTTATGTCCGCCTAAATATCCGACATAGGGCCTCAAAATTGGCCGTTTATGTCCGCACTAGGATTAAACATATATACCAGTATGCCGGGTCCTACAAGGATTAGTGTCACCAGATCGTACGCAAGCACGCCTCTTACCAGCTTCCCTCGGCATCGATTTACACTGGCTTTGCTCAAAACATACACAGTCATCTCCAGTCCGATAGAGAGGATGCCCACCGATGTATTCGCCCAGCGAGTCATCAGCAAGATCGTCAGCCCTGATCCCCCAAACTATATGTTTTTCGGTTCCAAAGTCTACCATGCTCAGTGTGACAAGCTAGCTGCCGGTGTCACGGGTTCTTTCGATCGTACTGACGTATCGCGTCTTCAGGGCGCCTTGCTACCAGTCATGGCACTACCGTTCATCCTGAACATACTTCCGTCCCCGACTTCAAGTTTGTTACAAGACGATGGAACTCCGTGTTGCACCACCCACAGCATCTTTTCTTAGCCTATTTTCGCGTCTTCGTTGGCTGCTTTGCTATCACCCCTAGATTCCTTTTGTCAACACACGATAAGGAAGGCTTTATGACATTTACAGAGGGTTACCTTGGGAACGGGAACCAGCGTGTCCCGCCAACGTCGAGAGCTGCTGGAGAAGTGATTTCATTATTGCCCAACGATCCCCGTGTGGTGACGGCACCGTTTTCTGTTTGCCCGTTCTCACGCCTGGTAAATCCTTTCCAACAGAATGCCAGGATGTTCGGAGAGGGAACTTGGAAGCCTCGTCGCCGAGCACTTTCGCTGTTACCCCATGTGGCTGTGCACGTAGTAGGTTCATGGTGCTATAGCTATGTCGAGGTCCTACAGATTCCCATGTGCTCGAGTAGCCCGGTCTGAGCCCGGTTGACTGTCCCACAACGACGACAACGGCTTCTGTTCTTGTTGGCCGGATCAGTCTCCACCGTCTGTGTACCAAGACGGAACTCGAAGGACACACATGTTTATTCGTCCCCCCGTCCAACGCGGCGCTCATGGCCGGTCCCGTGTCTATTCAAGAAACCCCCAATGGATATACTCCCCGAGTCACCGTACGTACGCTCCAATCGATAACCTTGCCGTCGGTAATGCATGCGAACGCTGCAGTCCTACCTAACCATCGTCATTAACGCTGAAGGCCGTACCGATACGTTTATTAGTCACGCACAGCCTCTCATGAGAGAGGGGGGGTCACTCGCCCCCCCGTGGCTCGGAAGCACTCACGAAAAGTAAGAGTGGTTCGGCTCTGCGACCCCACCAAAAACGAGATTCGAGCAAGGTGAATTAGTTGATATGTGGTGGATGGGATGAGGAGTTGTGAGATATCCAGGCGTGGATGTCTTACTGGACACACTGCTGCTTGGGTTAGCGACCACTTGCGAATGACCTTCAAGAAGAGACCTAGGGGAAGCCCAACACCAATATCGCCAATGGAAGTGATGCACATCGGTCCATGGGCCTGAAGTGACTATGTAGATACCCGTAGTAAAGAGCAAATTTATGGCAGTGAGTGACTCCAGAGATTCGACTATAAGTCCTCCGACCCGTCCAGTATGGCGAGATTTGCTTAGGTTCGCTTTCCATTAACAGTTATCCTGATTGACACGAACTGACCATGGACCAGCGACACGGCGTCCTGCACCTCGTTATCCACTGACAAGTCAGCCACCCTGTCAACCATCGCGACACACGTCCATAGGTCTAATAAAGCGACGGTAGAACAACTCATCCAGGAGGAGCAGCCCTTCGCTCTCCGCCTCCCACTCATCCGCGTCCTCCGGTCCCAGCCATACCTGGTCTTCGCTCGTGTCTTGTAAGTACAACTTCGTTGCAGGTGCCCTCGCTCTGGTCACTGGTATCACCTTCGCCGGACTCGGAGGTGCTTCCCATCACGCGGAACGGGACCCATTCCAGCTTGCCGGTATTTGCTTCCTCCTTATCCCCCTTGGGATCGGATCATTGAACTGAGCATATACGTGACCGTGCTGCAGTTCGCGCTGACCTCGAACATCTAGGGAACGTGTTCTACACCGGCACCATCGAGAAGTTCGACGAGAATGTATTCGAGAGCGCGGGCTTCCCGCCTTGGGGCGCGGGAGGTATGAGCAGATCGCGGGACACGAGGCGTCGCCTGTGGCGTTCCTTCAGAAAGCCAGCGGGGAGAATGCGACCAAGCCCTGCACGGATAGCTTATGAGTTCATACAGTCACTTCCTTCATCCCCACGCTACGGCATGGCTGACTGCGAGTAAACAGCCCGTATACAGATCCCAAAAGTTTCGCGGCTTTGAGTTTGTCCATCGAGGAGGTCGGAACAGCTGCGTACCCAGGGGCAGCGCATTCGCTATCTCACCGCGATGATATTAATGCTGCCTGTGTGGGTGCATTCTTCGTGGTCCAGTACACGCGGTTAACCCACCTGATTTCTAACAATCTATTCTGGCTATGGAGGCCCGTCAGACAAGCTGGATCCATAGCGCGGTCAACAAAGGTGAGCCTTGGTCGGGCCCATTCATCTCGAGCACCGCACAAGATGACCGCTCACCATATACCACTCGAAATATAAGCACCGTTCATCACGTCGTGCCCCGAGAGCAACCCTCCTTTGCCAGGCTGTCGTTCTATTAGTCCCTCAATGCCCAAGGCAGGGTCCACCATCAAAGTTTCCGTCGACAAATCGGACTCTACCGGCATGTTTATGGAATACTACTTCGGCCTGTCCGTCCTATCCTTGGAAATCCAGGACGGGCAGATGATTATTCCGGAGGGAGTTCAAGATGTGGTATTCACCAGAGTGGTGTCTGAGAAGCCCACAGAGGGCAAGCCGCCTAGCGACGAGACGATCAGGAGCGGGTTAGTGGTTATTGATTTTGGGCTGCCTGCTGACGCGAAGTATGAGTCGCCCATGGAGATCCTTGCCTAGTTTTTTCCTTTCATTTTACATCAGTTCCATAGGGTCAAATTGGTGCGAGTCTGTAAATGTGATGAGGTTGTCTATTGTCATCGGATTTGAACACACCCCCTAATTCAGAGCTGTCACTGCCTGAAGTCCTGCGGCGCAACTAGATAAACCCAGATTGACGGAATTACTAGCAAGCGGTATACCGACCGAGGCCTTTCAGATACCACACAATTCATGCATGATACTTAAGGTTTTCGCCCGCAATTGTCAGGAAAACTCACCTATATGGCGTGTCTGCACTACATGAGCAACGTATAATCAAAGAGATCTGCGCCGGTGTAGGACACTTGCCACCTGACCACGCTCATGGGAGCATGCGACGGACCAATGTCGTGGAGTGCTACATCGACGCCGACGAGTAGATGCTGGTGTACGGTCTATATCCTGTTTTCAGTGTCAAGGCTCTCGGGTATCTAGTCCAGTGAAGGACTTTCGCAGGGTGCTGAGTAGTCAAAGGCTGAAGTCTTCTTGGCACGGCTACGAGGGCATCGACAGCCAGCGTTGTCTTTGCTCGATGATCGAATATCGGGCAGGTATTGCGACAATCACAAGTACGAACCGATTATGGATCCTGCCCTCGTTCAGTACACCCTCGCCTACCGCGTACATGGGGGAGAAAACCAGCGAGTAATAGCAAGCGATACGAGGTCACCGATGTCCAATATCGAGTGCTCGTTCACGCTTGTCGGACGGAAGCAAGACAACAGCGATTTCAGCGGACGTTCCCATCGGGTCCGCAGTGACATAATGCAGCCCGGCCTCACGTTATGTTGTGATCTCCAGGGTCGCAGAGCCTGCGACCACATTAGCCGAGCTCAGGTAACCGAGATTCGATTAGAGTGACAGAAGTGAGCATAAGTGGACTTCGGATAACCCATACCTCGCAACAACCGACTCTGGCAATCCAGAATGGCAGACATGCGCACCTCTTCCGATTGTTATCTCCGTCTAAGCCATCTGCACGGTGTATTGAACACGGTCGGTTCGAGCAGTCCAACACGCCACCCGCGTCGCGAAGAGGAGTAAGCGCATATCTTACCTACTCTGGTTTGGAATGCAGATGAGGTGTGTGATCTGTAGGACATAGACTGGACGAGCACGACAGAACGGTGAGCCTGGGAGAACGTTGCGAATACTTTCGAGACCGGTTTGGCGCGGGACTGACTTTCGAGAAGCCTGACGCTTGCTCGAGAGTGGGACTCAAGACTACAAAAGGGTCAAGGGAGGATGTGACGGCCGTGTCGTAATGGTCTCACAACGATGCTGCTACAAGGTAACAGAAAATTTCATGATAGAGGATGCCGTAGTAGAGGTGCACATAACGGCTTGCGTGGAAGGAGCTTTCCATATGGCTTTGCGACCGGGGTTAGCAGCCATGTGATAGAGGGCCGAGCGAAGCTGATGACAAGTAAATGCGCCCACTGGGCATTCAAATGACGATGAAAGGAAGGTGCACATATCGACCTACCTCTTGTCTTCAAACGCTCTGGCGAGAGTCTAGATTAAATGTATACCTCTCAACTTGAAAATCATCAGCCCGCCGTATAGCCTGCCTTGATTTCAGCAAAGCATCGTGATTTCAGAGTGTTTTTCTCCTCAGTGTCGCACAACCATAGCGTGGGTCAAGATGCAAGGAGAAAGCTTAGTACAGTAGAGTCGACAGCACGACAGAAAACCGAAATACCAGTGCACATTCTAAGATCCAAATTCCGATCCGAGCGGAACTCCCGGCCCGGGCCGTGTTGTACAACTTCAAGATGTAGAATCCGCTACTTTGCCGCGCCCTGCCGTGCTACTCTCCATGCCCCACGCGTCTGCTACTTACTCAGTGCTCCTTCTGGAGGAAGCCGACTGCCCTCCAGTAAGATAACCATCTGTCAACATCGTCCGCACCCAATGCCGTCACTTTCTGCAAAGACGGAGCCTCCCTCTTCGCGACCTCCACGACTAAACGCGGGAAGCCCATCGCCTCGAGCTCGCGG